CCCTTATCACCTGAATCTCCTCCTAGAGCACCATTGAGTTCTTTGTAACCAAATCTCTCTCAGAGGGGCGTGGGGAGGGACTCCTTATTTTCAACAGACAGAGAATCAGCACTTTGGAAACAGGGCTGAAACAGAGGGGATTATGGGTAATGCTGCAATGATCTGTTTGGTGTTTCAGCCAATCAGAGACAGGTTCTCTATATATCTGAGACCTATAATATATTGATGAAAAACAGTATAATAGGGGACCTTTGAAAAGAAACTGGAGACTGTAGTTGGTTTCCTGTCTCCTACCAAAAGTAAATGCCGTTGTTCTTATGATTTTAACTTCAAATGTTAATTAATTTTCTGCAAAAGGAAATTCATCTAGATGCCAGGAGAAATGTCATAATGGGTAAGCATGGACTTTAATAACTGCTTGCGCCAAAACGTACACTAAACCTTTGTTGTTGTAACCTACAAACATACAAATCTTAATAAAACATACAACATAAAAAAACCTGACAACTATATAAAGGATATCAATATATGAAATGAAAAACCTTTTACAAAACTGTATGAACACGTTTTATTGTAATCAAAGCATCACATAAAACCTGGTTTAACGCATCACCATCCAAGAAACAATGGCAGCAATTGTTCTTTAACTAGTTTTAGTTGGGTTTAACTTAATTACACCTCTACGTTTGATATAGCAGAGCAAGAAAACATGTTTTCGTGTCATAACAAAATGGTGCTCACTGCCAATTCTGAAGTATGAGCACCAGATGTGATCACCTGCACCAAGGACACCAAATACATAGTGAAAAAGTTGAAGCCTCAGCTTTATCGTTCTGTAAAACTGGAACCTTGGAAATCTTTTGTCTTGTACTAGTTCTCTGAAATGTTTTGAAAGGAGTTTTCACAGAGATAGATCTTGTTGCTGGGCAGAAATATAACAACCTTTCCCTGTCCAGCTAGCATGTTAGCTTGTAGCTATAGTGATATATTGCACTAGGCAGAGATGGAGTACTCGAGTCCCGAAAACCGGCACTCGAGTCCGACTCGAGTGCCGGTTTTCGGGACTCGACTCGGACTCGCACACTGATTGACGCGACTCAGACTTGGCCTCGTGAATTCTCATGCACGATTGCTTGGACTCGAACTCGCACACTGATTGACGCGACTCGGACTTGGCCTCGTGAATTCTCGCACACGATGACTTGGACTCGGACTCTTGAATTTTTCCCCCCACGATGACTCGGACTCGACTTGTACATTGACGCTCCGACAAGTTTTCTCTGGAGTCTGATGTCCTCTATCCTGGGGTGTGCACCCGCGAGGCGAGTTCGCATACTGGGCCCCGCTATTCCAGTCTAGAGATGTCCAGAGACACACCCCGCATCGCAATCGACTACGACTCTCCCTAGGTGACTCAGACTTGGACTCGAACACAGGTAATGATGACTCGGACTCGCCTCGGACACTCCTTGGGGGACTCAGACTTGGACTCGGACTCGACTACGACTCTCCTTTGGTGTCTCGGACTTGGACTCGGACTCGAAGAGTGGTGACTCGAGAGTGACTTGGACTCGTGAATTGGTGACTTGACTACAACACTGGCACTAGGAAACTTAAGCAGAAGGGCAGTCAGCTCTTAATGGGGCTGGATAGAGTCCAAATTAAGGGAAGAAGTTGCAATATATATCAGGAAATGTTGTTACAATATAAGCTGCAAATGCTCAAAAGTGTTCTGTTTTCTGATGTTAGTGATTTTATAATGTATATGTAAACAAATGTGTTTCATCTGAGATACAACTCAAAATTAGATTTTTTGACTCAACAAGATGATGCATTTTCTAAAAACAAGACTTTATATCTCACTGCAAATATACTTGGCAAGCTTTCGAGTTTTTGTAGTGTGAAGACCTTTCAGAGATTCATTGAAGGTTGTATTTCAAGCTAAAGAAAATTGCCTGCCAACTTTCATCATCTGTTTTCGCTGCATCAGCATTTGTTACACCTGCTGTATACCTGGTCGTCAAGGCTTTAACAATCATGCTCGTAATGTTCTCCATCTTGAAATGTAAACCATTAATCAATACAAATGTACAGTTAACAGTGTGTTCGTTTGTTATTCACAGTAACAGGGACATTGATTCTGGAAAGATCTGTTGTTGAAGATGTCATTTTAACTGCTGTTAGCACCATTTATCTCATTGTATTTTGTCATTGTACCAATATCTAAAATCCGGTGGGAATAATACAAAAAAACTATAGATTTTAAGTTATATTTAAAATGGCTGGATTATAATCTTACAATTGTGAAATTCATACAAAATCACTGGACAGACCATCAGCTAATTGCAAACGTGTATTAATCAATGTAGATGTACAGTTAACATTGTGTTGTTATTCAGAGTAACAGGAACAGATCTGTTGTTGAAGTTCTCATTTTTCACTGCTGTTAGCACTCATTGTATTTTGTCATTGTACCAATATCTAAAATCCGGTGGGAATAATACAAAAAAACTATAGATTTTAAGTTATATTTAAAATGCCAGTATCTTACAATTGCTGAATTCATTCAAAGTCACTAGACACACCATCAGCTAATTGCAAACATGTAAAAGGAACATTATAAACCACAGGAGACCAACTACATGTCCAATATGTCGTATTGGAGAATCTGTAAATTGACACAGCCCCAGCTCTTTGTGGTCGTACACGAATGAAAAGCAGCCAGAAGGATCCCAGGTGACAAAGACATGACGGACTACTATCTCCATGCAGGGTCACCGACCTCCACTTTCCTTCTGGTTTAACAAGCAAATCCCTCCAGGGCCACAGGACACATGAGCTCTGAGGAGGGGGAGGAGTGTGTGTGTGTGTGTTTGAGTGCGTGTATACACATGGCATGCGATGAAACCTTGCTGTAGGGAAGATCTTGTTCTCCTTTTCGACCTTGAATGTTCTCATTCATTTCACTAATAGCCGAGTGTGAATACATTCTCTGAATACTCGTCACTTCACCCAGGGTTGAGATTGAAATGAAAAGCATTGTAGTCCCACTGGGGCTGCCCCATGATATCTGCAGTGCTTACAATCTGTGTGCTGCAAAATGGTATAGATTAATGCACCATGTGATAATGTATTCAATGTACTCTCTTGAAAAAATGTGGCCTTGACTAATCCATGCCTACTTCTCAAATACCTTCCTCAAAGTATATTAATAGTGGTTCCAGAGTTTAGTTAATTTAGCAGTAAGCACTTGGTTGACATTGCCCTTTGTAGAGCGGGTCAGTGATGATGTATTTTTGTTGGACAACCTAGAATTTCATTGGATTTTGGAATATAGCAGAAAATAAGATCTGTGGCAAACACACTTTTATGATACTTACACGTTTTGTTCAGCAGGATAATCTCCACATATTAACATCATTTTATAATTGTTTATAAAGTAAAAAGCCCATTTAGGGATATAAAGGAACTACAGCACGGTCACATGACTTCAAGTCGCCACCGCTAAGCTAAAGGCGGCTAATGTTGGGCGTGATGACGTTTAGTAGTCTCAATTAGACACTTGTTAGCAACCGCTATTTCTAAATTTACCAGTGGGGTATTTACTGACGTATTTTATGCTGTAGAACAAAAATCTATTCAGCTTAGGGTTAGGGGTTAGCCTAACTCTAACCCTAACCCTAACCCTAACCCTAACCCTAACTCTAACCCTAACCCTCAGACCTTATTTCAGGCCAATAACCAAAAACACATTAAAAAAAAAGATTGACTTCCAGGTGATTCCTAGTTTTGAGCTCGTTCCCTTTACTGTATTGTTCATATTGTACCAATATCTGAAATCTGGTTGGAATTAATGTAACATTTGAGATTAGTAGTTGAATTAAATGTTGCTGATTATAAGATAAGATTGATAAAATAAATAAGTGACATACTGTAAGCTAACCAAATGTAAATTGAGCCGAAGGAGACCAACCAATGCCTACTCCTCAAATAGTTCCCTCAAAGTATATTCATACAGGATCTAGGGTTACGTTTTCTAAGCAGTAAGAGCTGGAATAACAGGTTGCTGTGGACAGTCTGGTCAGTCGGGTCCGTATGATACTGAGGACCTACCCTATTGTTTTGGGGATTGTGGCTTAACACGACCAAGGTAAGAGTTTGCAAATTCTACATATAATTACAATTGACAAACGACGGAATGAATCAAACACTGACATGTTTTTAAGATGTAATATCCTTGAGTAAAACAGTTTACATGTACCATCTAAACTCAAGGGAATCTTGTCTTTTTGTGTATTCATAGCTCTATTTATTTTGATTCCTAATCTTGCTTTCTAGTCACTTAAGTCTCTTCTTATTGGCATTCTTAGTAGATATGGTCATGTTTTGCCAATTGACCTCACTCTATTGATGACAGTTAGGGGTTTAAATAGCTAATGTTTCTACAAAGCATACATTTATCAGCTGACACCTGCTATGCAAGGCATGCTTTCTGTCTGTACTCTGCTAGCTGTGACCACAAATTATTGCTTTAAACATTTCAAATACATTAACTAGAAACACTCTTGAGTCTTTTAAGATACAGTAAATCTTAAATATTGACAAAGCTACCAATGACAACAACCCTGATCCTTCACTAAACTTTAACAAGTGCCTTTATAGAAGCACAAATAAGGGGTGTATTGGGGGGGGGGATCCACTTTCACCACCAAATTGAATAAACCAGAGAACCATGCTTGTCTTTTAATTGTGCACACAGCAGGAAGACTAATAGCGATGCGAGGGTAAATGAGGCCAATTTGAGTCTGTCACAGTCATGCATATTTAATTGATATAAATGCCGTTATTGTGTCCAAAAAATAATTGACAGTGCAGCAATGCATATCCCAAATTCCCCAAAGCTTTGGTAGACCAACTCCCCCAAGTTATATTACAGGGAATATAAGATCCTTCGAAAGACAACACAAACATTTTTGCCTTTCAGAAGATTGCTTTTCACCAAAAAAAGTTAACTCAAGAACTGAGAACCTCTTCATCGAGAAATATCAGATTACAGATATTTGATTTCTTTCCTTTCTTGTACTTGTTTATTTTCATTGTAGTGCAACGTTTTTAGTTCTGGCAATAAAATACCAATAAATACAGCTTTGAAAAATGAAAAAACTCTTGAGAGTGCTTCAATTATTTAGGGGCTTTGGGGCACAGAGCGTTGCAGTGTTAAAGCTGAAGCACTTTGTGCCTGCAATCGGAGATGAAGAGGCTATTTGTCTGTGTAGTGTGCAGAGCTCTTATCAGGGATTTGTTTGCGGCACAACTTCATTTGCATACATTTCTTGGAGAGTAAGATGAAAACTCGCCGCTCTTGGCTGCAGAAGGAGCAATGCACATTCCAGCACACACCAGCTCACTTCATTACTCTTTTGTCGATGGGATAAGCTTTCTGTCTTCATACCCTGATCATGAATATATCTCTGAAATATTTCTCATTTTTTAAAGATTTGTTCATGCCTTTAGCATCCTTGCTGCTTCTATACACTGAACCAACTGAAGCGTTGACTTTACTGAATTGCGTTATGTCAACGGATTTCACATAAAGGTATTCGCTAATAAAACATATTAGGTTCAACTTAATATTATTGTTTTCAACTAACCTAATACAGTTATGTGACATCTGTTGACACAACGCATTTAACCAGGGGCGGACTAGGACTACAAATCAGCCTAGGTCTCTCGACCGGCCCACTTCGGTACCGCCGGCCCACCTCGGTACCGCAAGTAAATACCGCTAGTACATAAGGCGCGTTCACACCAAGTACTTTTCCCACAAAGGTTCCTGAGAACTACGATTTAGTTGCGTTCACACCAAAAAGTCCCAGGAACTAAATTAGTTCTAGAGAATCTTTTTTACCCCCTTTTTAGGTTCCTGTGTCTGATTGGCTGGGCGGAATGCAAACCACGCCCCGTCAAACTCCCAAAAACTTTTGTGAAGCCGCCATTTTATTAGCATTATTAGCATTAGCATTAGCCCAGCGCAGAAACGCAGAGAGGCTAACTTATGTCAACACAAAATAAAACATGGGAGTGGTGGAGATGAGGAGGTGTCGGCGTTCTGGCCGTTTAAGCTGCTGGGAGTCCCAGCAGCTTCTACTGAAGCCAGTCCCTAACTCCGGGGACTTCCGGCCGGGGATTTTGGGCGGCAGTATACGCCGTGAAGTTGTTTGCGGCCTGCCAGTAAACCCAAAGCAGAAGAAGAAGAAGTGACGTC